AATTACTACAGTGAATTTCTCCCCCACTGGGTGTTCATCTTAAATGTTTCAATGTCAATGTGGACTGTGTGGAGCAGGTAGATGGGTTTGGTAGATTGAAATAGATATGAATAGATTGGGATCAAAAGGTACAAAAGATGGTGCTTGGAACTTTTTATACTGTAATGGTATGTATAATTTTTTTTTTTTTTTGTTTAGAATGGCATTTTTTTAAAACAGCTTTGGTATAAACATGTGGTTCACAAGGGGAAAGGTGATAATAGTCTTAATTATTTTTATTATTTTTTTAACTATCATAATTGGATTTGTTGGTTAGTCTTTTTTTTTTTCTCACTTGTATACTCAATTTTCATAAAAATTTTATCACTTCTCATAAACATTTCTTTTATAGAATTTTTGTTGCATGCAACAAAAAAGATAAGTGCTTTGCCCCCCCCTCTCCCAAATAGTTGGCTGTTGGAATATATTTTGACAAAAAAAAAAAGCATCCTCCTGTGATTTTTCTTTCTTTTTCAAGCGCACACAAAACTTGAGCAAACGTTTTACTGGATTCTAAATTTTCACATGTTTTAGAAATATGAGTCTCTTGAAGAACACTTCACCCCACTTAGCTTTCAACAGCCCAACTCTAACACCTGTGAGGCCGAGGATTGAAAACAAAAAGAAGTGGGTTGTATTATATGAGATCAATGTTGTTCAATTTATCCTCAGGAGGTTAAATGATTTAAGCATTCTATTTCCTCACTTTGAAGATAGGAAGATTTTTTTATGCAAAAACTAAAAAAAGAAATGTATTCAGAGAAATGTAGTTAAAGGTAGAAAATATTCAAATATATTTATTTCTACAAAGTTTTATTTTATTTATTTCTTGTAAATTAAAGTGGGGAAAAAAAAACATTATGTAAATTTTCATATATATTATTAAAAATAGTTTTATATGTATCCTTAGAGCAACATTGAATTTTATTTTTATTGCTTAAAGAATCCTTTCAGAAAGAAACACAATTCTCATCTCAACACTTTTCTCTTTGCTTTTTGATGACAAGTAACCTTTTGCAAATTTCACAATCAATTTAATTTTCAAATATAATTTAAAAGAAAATCAATTTCTTTGTAGTTAAAGTTAATAAAAGTCACTAATAAATTTTATTGGGACAAAAAGCTTCAAATAAAAGAATCAGTTTAAGGAACAATTTTAATATAATTTAAATTCATTTTCTCATGAGACCAGGCATTTGAAAAATGACAGTAATTCAACTATAGCAGCAAAGAAATTAAATTTAGGGCTTTGTTGAATGGAATCTAAGGTTAGTGGGGTCTCCTTGAACTCTAAGGAAACTTTTGCTCATTGAAGAGGAAAAAAATAGGGCACAACATTTTTCTCTATTAGTCAATTTTAATCGGAAGCTGTTTATCAATGAAAGTTCAGGGTTTTGTATTTATCAGATAAATGACAAGTTTAAGTCTCTTAAAATCTTGGTAATTTTAGTGAATGAGATCAATTACAATTTTAATTATCTTTTTTTAAATATTTACTATTATTCTACTTGTCCTATTTTGGATTTACAGTTCATATGTATAAGAACACCAACTCTGATAATCCCAATGCCAATATTTACAGTTTTCCAATTTATGTTAGCATTGTAAAGAATATCTACTTGAAGGAGTGGAACGAGGCTTACTTTAAAATTTAGATCCATCGGCAGATTTTAAAATGTTGAGTACTTTTTATCTTTAATACTTTAAATTGCCATAGGTGCTTATTTTATTGCCCATACACACACACACATATATATATATATATATATATATAGATAATATTAGTGGAAAATATACATATATATCCAAAATATATGTAAAAAATTCCCATACATGTATATTTTCAGAAAAAATTTTTTTTCAAGAGGAAGGATCCAGGTAGAACTCAATGTCTAGGACAGAGTAAGGATATAATAAAAAGGCTTAAACACTAATATTCCATCCCTCACTGATAGCATGACTTGGAGTTTCACACACAATGCAATTTTCAGGTGCTATGTATAAGCTGACCATTACGTAATTTAAATTTTAATAAAAAAAATATCTGGTTATTGCAACGTTGGCACAGTTATGTATTATACTGGGATTACAGTTTTTTAATTTTAAAAAATATATTTGGTATTTAAAATAAATGGGGTTTATCTATGTAAAAAAAAAAATAATAAAACAAATTAAGAGTTGTGAGTATTAATTTTTTATATTAAACATAAAGGGTGAATACTGGTTCTTTTTCAAAAAAGAAAAAGCAACCATAATTTACACAAAAAATTAATCTGGATCAATGTATTTAAGCAGATATTTTTATGCTGACATGTAATCATCAATTGATTTCTCTTGTATAATAAGCTAGGGTTATTTAAGTGTTTTAAGATAACTAATTATTCAATAAGACATAAATTACATCTACTGCCTTTCCCATTGTAAGAATTGGCTTTAGCTACAATATCCCATGTAATAATGGATGTATTACCACCATTCTTTAATTGCAAGAAATGTTTTGAGAGAGCAGTGCTGTTTGTTTTTCAATATTGCCTAAAGTCATTTGATGATGGTAGAAAAGAAATTTCCAAGGATTTTCAGTGGAGCCAAATTAAAATTTTGCATCATTACTAGAATGTATGCTAGTTTAATATTTTATATATATATGTGTGTGTGCGTATATATATGATAAAGAACAAATAAGAAACATTTATAAATCTGACATGTTTTGCTCTTATTAAAGTATCATCAGAGAATGAGACATGGAAAAAAAATTTTTACTGGTATTTTTATTTTCATGCTGTTTGATTTTAATAAAAATACCAGAAAAATTATTTTTCTATATCTCATTCTCTGATGAATCTTTAATAAAATCAAAACATGTTAGATTTATAAGCATTTCCTCTTTGTTCTTTATCCTATCATTCTGTCAGATTCCTATCCATCTTTGATCTGTGATTGGTTCTATCAGTGAAAACTGTTATTTTTTTTTTTTTTTTTTTGGAAGACATCTCTTCTTCTCATCAAATGTGTCAATACTTGGTTTTCCATACTCATTTATTTTCCTTCTGTGTGTATGTGGAGAATATTTTGTCATCAGCCTAGACAACAAAATTTACAAAATGAGTTACTTTTTGCTCTCCCGGAGAGCTAATTCTTTTGGGAAAGGCATGAATCCACTTCCCTTGTGCCCTTTCACATTGCCATCTTCAAAAAACCTGCCATGCCACTGCTATGCTACAATGTAGAAGAGTTACTGAGCACCACTCTCCCATAACTTCATTACTGGCCCAATCAGTTTTATCAGTAAAAAGCTGTTACACCCTTTCTCAGACTTCACAGGAAGCATGTTACATGCACACATCTTCTCAGGGTGAAAGATACAGCATTTATTTCCCACTACAGATATTCATCCTTTGACATTATCAACTTCCTTTTCAATGTACTTAGTGCATATATAGTGGAAATTTCAGATCAAAATTTAACTAATCACTACCAGGCTATATATATATATATATATATATATATATATATATATATGTTATATTCATGAATCATACAAAAAAACAAATATGATTCATGAATTTATAAATTATAATTGCACCTTTTTTTAATTGATATATATATATATATATATATATATATATGTGCATGTAGTGGGTGCTGACAAGTTCCTTGCCTCACCAAGAAGAGTCACCTTTATCCAAATTCAAATGTTTGATTATTTCATCAGATTTTGGCAAGATTTCACCACCTTTTGTTTTAATAAGTCTCTATTCATTTATGCTATATTTGTATATTGAAGCCATTTTTATCCATGTTAAAGGCTTTACATCAAAACCAGTCAGTTTATTTTATGCAGTGTTTATTTTCCTTATGTTCATTTTAATGATTTTTTTACTGTAGAAGAAATAAGAAAAGAATCTCTTTTTATTCTAAGATTGGCTTCTAATTTCTCCTAATTGTTGCTTTAAAAATATCTTTGCTGAACAGTCACTTGCCATCTCAGTTCATTGTTAAAGCATTGAATCATTTCCATTTTAGTATTGTCTCACACTTGTAAAATCTACACTCAGCAAAAAAAAAAAAAGTGGGTTTGGCTCAGACAAATAACTGGGACCTTTGATTGCCCATCTTTTGTATGTTTTCATAATCCCACCTGTGAGAAAGGATTTATTATTATTTAAAATACTGCAGCTTAATGTTTATTTTAGATTTGAACCTAAAATCTGCACTTAAAATGTCTTAGTTCTGCATATTTGTGACTCCAAGATTTCTTTTATTATTATAATTCTTGTAGGTCCAACATGCCAGTCTTAATGTTGGCTTTGACTGTCTTTCTCCAATTCAATAAAAATAAAGGAAATCCCCCCCCCCAAAATTCATTAATTTATCTCATAATTTTCTGTTTAATGATCTCTCCTTGTTTAGCAGAAAAACACTTCAAATAATTCTAGAAACAGCTGAAAAGATAAATCAAAAATGTTTTCTTAAAAAATATTACTGTATTAACCATTTAGTAAAGCCCAAATGAGCTTTTCCATTCCTTTCACATCTGTAAGAGTTATCTTTTTGTCTGTAGAAGAATCTTTAGTGTTTAATAGACCTGGTCTTGAACCCCTAACACATGTTGTGATCACTACTGATAAACAATAGATGAATTTGTGTTGGTTACTGATTTGTTGATAACCAAATTATCACAAAATGTAAAATGAAGCTAAGATGTTTAACAAGCCAAGACACAGATAATGAAGCTGATTTTGTGTGTACAAGCACAGCAGGCAGTGGGGTTAATTTTTTTTTTTTTTTAAATTCTGATTAGCTTAAAGAGCAAACCAGAATTATTAGAAACTAGCTTGTGATGGTGGACATCTGAATAATTGGAAGATTGGTTGGGACGGAGTTAGTCTATCAGTTGGAGGCAATTGGATACTCATTCCTCATAATCCCATTACTCATTATTAATGTCATTCTTTCTTTAGCATTTACTTCCTCTTTCTTTTACCCCTTTTATTCCTTTCACTCTCTTATCTCTCTCACATCAATTTTCTCCCTTTTATTCTTCTCCTATTTTCTGCTCCTCTGTTTCTCCATGCACTATTCTCCTCATTCTCTGTTTTCTTTCCCTCTCATCTATCCTCCTCCTCTCTCTTATTCTCAGCTTTTCTCCCTTCTATCCTCCTCCTCCTTTCTCCCTTCTATCCTCCTTTCTCCCCCTTCTCCTTTCTCCCTTCTATCCTCCTCCTCCTTTCTCCTTTCTCTCCCCCCTTACTCTATCCTCCTCCCTTACTCTATCCTCCTTCTTTTCTCCCCTACAACACTTCTATTTTCTTTTGCTCTCTCTTCTGTCTCTGTCCAATTACATTTCTTGAACCCCTTCAGTCCTAGCAAAGGGGCCAAGAGTAAGGGAGTAGATTCTGATTAGACTATGGCCTCTTTATCTTTGTTTCCATCCCATAAGACATGTAATGTGATATTTGATGTGGACATGTGTTTAGCTACAAAATTCCATCAGTTTACTTGATGGGAGTGTGTGTGTGTGTGTGTGTGTGTGTGTGAGTGAAGGGCTCTGCTGAAAATCTCTAATAACTAAAACAGAAGATTTATTAAACTAGCCGCCCCCTTCCACTCTCTCCTAACATTGACTTTCTCCCCCCCACCTCCCCCCTTTTTTTAAGTGACTCAAGTGAGTATGACTCTTAGAAGGTTGTATATAAATGTGTGGGGTGTATGCACACACACACACACGTCTATGCCAAGACTACTTTAGTAATTAGTACTACTGATTTTGGTGAATATACTAGAACCTTTGCTTACTTATCTGTTCAACAATGGAGAAGTTTATTTTCAAAAAAAGGCATTTAACTTCTGCAAGCAAATTTGTTTTTCACATCAATATTCAGAACTTAGGACAATTACTTGGTTACTTATTTTAGTGCTTCATTTTACTTACAGTTATTGCCATGTGATGCAAACAGTTGTCACTCCATTATTTAAACTAACTGACCATAAATAATCGAGTGTCTTTTTATAAGTATCTCTCACTTATTGCCAGCAAAGACTGTTTTTACATTTATATAAGTAGCAAAATAATTGTTCTAAGTAACATGGTTAATTGAAAAAATTATTTATTCAGGAATATATTTAGATATACTTACATATATATTACAATAAGAGAGAATGAAGTCTGTGTCGATTTTTTTTTAAAAAGTGTCTGTTATTAGAAATTGGAGTTAATATTCTTAAGCCCCTAACTTTTATATCCATGTCTAAGAGCATACATTTGTCACCATCCGGTAACTTAACAGGGATGATTCTTCCAGAGATTTAATTTGTCAAGTGACAAAGAAATAAAGTTTAGTTAAAATTTTCTTTTGTTAAAGATGATTGGTCCTAAAGATTTTTTGCCAATCATTAAATGAATTCATGTGTTAATATATAAATTATTAACACAGCTCAGTTTATTCTATGATGACATGGATTGTTTTCTCTGATTTGGCAACTGATTTCTTTTGTCTTGTTCATTAATCACATACTGCTAAGTGCCTAAATACAGAGGTGGGGTCTTAATAATCAGTGTGGAGGGATTAGAAAATTTCTGTAAAAAAAAAAACAAAAAAAAAATAGTTTCCTTCCATCAAAGTTTATTAAGCATCTCTTATCCTCACTTGTTTGACATTTTATATATATATATATATATATATATATATATATATATATATATATATAGATAACTAGACTCGTTTGAAAAACCCTTGAATTTTTGATTTGCTAATCAAATCAATCTCGAGGGAAAAAAAAGGTTTTAAAAAAGAAAGAGCTACAAACATGAACTTCTGCCGACAAAAAATCGCACAGATGCAGGTCTGAAGCCCAAAAAAAAACCCGATCGAGTAACAACTAACTAACAAAAGAGCTCAATACAACCGTAGAGCAGACCTAGATACACCTAGTGAGCCAGACAAACCTACCTACGTGATGTGGTATAATTTTAGCTATCACCTATAAATATGTGTTTCTCTTTGCCTCGTTATTAAACTTTCCTGACCCGATCCGTTTAGGTGAAACCTAGGTAGGTTTGTCTGGCTCACTAATATATATATCTAATATATATATATATATATATATATATATATATATATATTTAATTTCTTATTACCAAGTAAAAAAATGCAATTCATGTATCCTTTTGGTAATTTCTGTTTTGATAAATTCTTATACTGTGCAGTGTGCAAGCAATTTATTATTAGGTCTTGGTTAAATTCTGTAAAAATGATTTTAAAACCTCCATATGTCAGTTTTTTGTAGTATTTTGTTTTATTCATGATTTTGATATAGTTGCATGAAGATTCCCAACATGCTAGCCTGTAAAAAAAAAAAAAATAGTTTATTGGTGATCTTTATTTCTTAATTCTCTTAAATTTCTGTTATTGTCCTCCTCTCTCATATATACAGCTATCTATCTAATCAAGATGGTGTGGTGAAAATCAAAGGGTTGAATCATCTCAGTATGACCAAAAGTTTTCAGCAAGAAATTAACACTCAGACATATTTTCAGTTGGAAATTTGCTGCTGGAAATACTGATCTATATTCTATTCAAAATAAGCCAGGATTTAAAATGCTGGTTTTTTGAAGCAGGCCCTCCTTACATTAATGTTGTTAAACCAACACACAAAGTTATTAAATAAGATTGTTGTCTAGACAAAAGCTACACAGATGTATAATCTTTCATCTTAGATTTTTATAATATTCTCAAAAGAAGACTGAATAAAGGTTGTTGCCCTTGAAATTGTCAAGATATTTTGTTTCATGCAAAACCCTAAATGTCATTCCTGTACACTGAGAGAAGATATTTTTGACATTGAATTTTAATAACAAAATGTATAATTTTTCAATTCTCCTCAGTTGGCCTAATCAACAAACTATTAATGTTCAAAACTTTTATTTAACTACTTTACAAAATTATTTTAAAGGAGTAAAATGATAGATAATAAAAAAAAAAAAAAAGAAGACTAACACAGCATTAGTCTTTATTAATAATAGTATTTTGAAAGTAATTTAAAAAAAAATTAAAGTAAATGTCCTCAATGTCTGAGTCATCAGTCTGTGGAGAAAGCTTAAATTATTTTATAACAAAGTTTCTGTTCATTGACTCCTGAAATACATTTTGTCTAATTCATTTCATTTTTTCCATTCATTTGGCAAATATTTCATGTACCTTCACTCCCATCAAATGGATGTATAGTAAAAAAAAAAATTTTAGGAGAACCTAATCTACTGAAAATAATGAGATTGTGTTGTATTGTGAAGATGATGATTTAAAAGTTGAATAAAGGATAGTCTTGTTTGCTAAATAATTCTTGATGCTTCATTACTCAATAACACCTTTAGATTCCAAAGTTTTTTTGTTGTTTTTTTTTTTTTTTTTTTTTTGTGAAAAAGCAGATAAGACTGAAGAATAAAAGAACATTTAAGAATTATTTGTGAATGCATGTTGGTGATTCTTATTTATGAATGCAGTCCAAAATATATTTTTAGTGCAGGGTTGATGACACTCAATACCGCATAATCAAAGGAGGAAAAAAAGTTAAGTTTAGTATTCTGTCTAAAACTTATTTAATGATACCAATTTGCCCGGATCGAATCAAATTGGATCTTAGTTTGTTATATTTGGAAAATTGAGAAGCAAGAGCCTGAGAAAGAAAGCTAGTCAGTTACTGAGAGAGGATTTGAGATATTTCAGCTTTCTTACCTGGAGGCTTTTAGCCGGTGATAGGCATTCAGGGTGTGGCAAGGAGTGTTATGGTTGAGGAGAAGAAAAAGCTGCATTGTGATTGGCTCACAGATCTTAATTTAATGGATTTAACTGGGCCAATAAGTATTTGTTAAAAATAACCTGACCCTGACCTGTGGCCTGACTGCTTCCTTGTTTTATGCAGTCAGAAGCAATTCAGTTCTTCTCTTGTGATTTATTAAATAACCATTGGGGAGACTTGTTTATAGCCATTGAAGAGGGGCTTGTAGGGGAAGCAGATCTGGCAATTAAGTCTATGGCCCAGCAAGGGTGTGGGATATTCTATTCAAAGTTTTAATAGCCAGTCGCTGTCAAGGTGTATTTGTTTGGCTGAATTTTTATAGATCTTAGAATTCTATAGAAAGCCTATTAGTTTGAATTTATGGCTATTTTAGGAATGAAAAGTCTCCAGTCCTTTGAATGTTCATTACATTTTAATATTCATGGAATGGTTTAATGTTTTATATATATATTTATTTTCAAGCATTACTTTTATACTTAGAAAAGTACCCTGCAAGTTTTGGGTTGAAAAGTCACTTTAGTAACATCCTATGATCTGCATTTCTTTTAGTCAGTACCAGTACCTATTACTAATCAAACTAGTAGTACTGGACTAGTAAAGTAACTGGAAGGGAAATATAGGTTGTTTACTTTTTTTATGTTACAAATGCAAACAAAGAAAATATATTAAGAAAGGTACTATCGAGAAAAACATGGCAATTCATTTGCCATCAAGAAAAATTAAAGCATAATTTTTTTTCATTCATAACTTTGACGTCTCTCCTTCTGATCATCTGTATCATCCTCAAAAAAAAAAAAAAAAATCTCAAAACTCTTTGGTTTTGAAATTGTTGAATTTTTTTTCTCTAATCTTTTCAGTTCTTTTAATTGTTTTTTAAATTAAAAAAAAAAAAAAAATTCATAAAAATTAGGCTTTTTATTTTTATTTTTATTTTTTTTATACTGTTGTTTGCCTAGATGTAGAGGCTTACTGAGTGAGATTGTTATTTGGATGTAAAAGCAAAAGGTAAGAAGTTAATATTATGAGGATATGTAGGATAGATAAACAGTTAATCCTAGACATGAAGAGGATAAGATTGTAGTGATTGGAGAAGCATCCTCTCTGGTGAAATAGCAGTTCTTGGAAAAACGGAACTTACTTCTTACCAATGTAATACAAAGAGAATGAGGATGGCTTGTCTCTGTGTATGGCATAATGAATCTTAGCTGTGGAACTGGTGGAATTAATTAATGTAACTCATTAGAACATTATCCATGAAAATAGAGATAAAGTTTTAGTTGACTAAGAAAAATTGTACATTTTATATTTTTTGGTAGTAAAATGAAGATTCTTCCACTAAAGAGCCTTGAAGATAGAGGAACTGACGTAGTGTCATTTCCAAAAATAATAATATAACTGAGTTCAAATTATGTAAACTGATGTTTGTTTGCATTGCTAAAAGTATCAGTATATTTTATAAATACCAGTTCTTTTGCTTTTATACTACTATATATTGATGACTTAGATGTTTGTGTGTCTATCTGTCATATATTGCTGATCTATATTTGTTCCACCAAGGTAGAATCTTTTAAAGATTGAAGAGGTGAAAATTTGACCTTGTAAAAATATTAAACTCTATCACAAAGGAAAAGAATAAAGCAGATGAAGTGTAAATCTAAAACTTTTACATTCCAGAAATTAAAGCGTTTTATAAAAATTCTTTTTTTTCTTATGAAGAAGAAATAGACTAGACACAGGAAGATTTTTTTTTTAATAACTCCTCTTACTACTTTAACTCAGACTGTTTTTGATATATTACCTTTTATTTCTACATAGTGTGCAGATGTAGTAGCAAATGTAAGAATGCATGAGAATATTTAACAGAAAAATGCTCAGCTCTATTTGAATGTGTATTAAAGAGAATGAAATCTCTAACTATGCATGCTTAAAAGCTGAAACTTTCCATATTAAAAATTCATATTTTTAAATGCTGTACAAATGTTATCTTTCTCCATAAATTATAAGTTAATTAAATTTTAAATTAGTATCTGCTCAGTTGCGATATTTTATCTTATTAATAATTTTTAATAAAAAGACATTTTTATTTTGTCTGTTTAATCAATAGAATCATGTCCCAGTCATGTCTGTTGTAATTTGAGTCTGTCTCATTTGTTTTTACCAAATCTTAATTTCTATACATTCAAGTTTTTCTTCAAAAACATTATTGGGAAACCAAGTTTGAATTCCAGTAGAGTTTGTTATATTCACTTACATGCAAATGCCCTTGGGAAAGTTATGAATCCATCCCTAAAAACTGGATTTTATATTAATATTCACTCAATACAAGGCTTAACAGTCACTCAAGGTAGAGGGTTACTGTGAAGTATCTTATGTGTGTAAGAAAGGGTAAGAAGTGAAGAGATGCAACTTTATCATTATCTATAGTTTTTATAATTCATGTTATTCTGGAAAATAGATTTTTTAGCTTCATTTTAGAAACATTATGACAATTTTAACAACAGTGAAATATTTGTAAGCATATTGAATTTTTGCTATTCAACATTATTTCTTATTACTGTAAATATAATTTTTTAGTGAGTAAACATATTTCGATTCCTGTTGGTGGTACAATCTTTCTTTGATAGGACTCCACACTCTAGGCCTGTTGTTATTAACTTCAATATTTGAGAAAATTAAAAAAAAAATAACAGGATAGCAATTAAAATGTGTGTACCCACTAAAAATAACATTTATAGTAATAGAAATCATATTGAATGAAAAGATTTCAATTTTGGGGGAGTTTCTCTATTAAAACCTTCTTTTGATAACTTTTTTTTTTTCTCATGAACTTCACTAAGAGATCCAGTTAGTGAATTGGTTAGTTGTTTAAATCATTATGCAATTAGGAACATGGCTTATTAATATTAGATCCTGCAAGTCTATGCATCAATGCTTTCTGGATCCCATCTATTGTAATCCATCTTTTTATTTGGTTGTTATGTCTACATTATCCAAATAATTTTCATCTTTTGCTCAAATATGGCCATAGAACATTCTCTCCTAAATGAAATTCAATCTATAAAAAATATCATAAATATGACAAGTAACCTATAATTATTAAATATCTGAGGACTTTAAAAGCTAAAATTTAAGTTCATGTTTTTTTTTTTCTTCCTAAAGAAAAAGAAAATGTTATCTTAATTTTGGATGTTATTTTTATTGTTATTTCTATTTAGATTTTAATGCTCTTTCATCTCTTTTTCTGGTCTTGTCTGTTAATTTTATCTTTCAATAATCATGGATCCTTTTTGCTAGAGAATTTCAATCCTCTGGCAAATTTAAGAGAGTAGAGAAAAAGAAAACTCCTTAATTCTTGAATTGCATTTCTCTTGTTCTTCTCTAATTAACAACTAAGCAACCATCCACCCATGTTCCAGTTTGTCATTCACTGTCATTCTGGCTTTACACTACAGGGAAACAAATTTCACCAGAATTCATTGTAAAGAAGCAGAGGTGGGGGTGCTGGCAATGACAAAATGCGAAAAAGAGATATTTAAAGGACAACAGCAGCTCCTCTGCAAATAAACAAACAAATTGGATATGAAAATACTTTGTTAAATGAAAACAAATAAGATTTTAATTAAAAGCTTTCCCTAACCCTGGAGGCTCTTTTTTTATTTATTTATTTTATTTTTTATTTTTTTTTTTTAATGCTTGGCTAGCAAATGACAAGAAAGGAACAGTGGCAAGCTGCTGGGTAGGTGAGGGTTGGTTTCCTTGTCCCTCCTCTGCCTGTGGGAATCTACTGATACAGGATGTTCTGATATAGGTTATATCAATATTGGATGGCGATTCATACATTATTGTGTAAGGGGAAGGGGTGTATTTAGGGTAGAAGGGAATGAGAGTGGGAGGGGATTAAATTGAATGACTAGTTATTGAAACTCTTTCAGGCACACACAAGAGTTGACAGCACTATATCATTATGTATAAATACCTCTTTCTAATTTACTGTTTATCTCGGTGCACTTTTTTTCTTTTTTGTAGCTTTCCTGCTTTATCAGTCTCTCTTTCTGTTCCTGAAGATCCTTCCTCAACTTCTCACCTTCTCAACCTCTCATAAACCTTTTCCCTCCTCTCTTTTTGTCTCTTTCCTTTCCCTCCTCTCTTTTTGTCTCTTTCCTTTCCCTCCTCTCTTTTTGTCTCTTTCCTTTCCCTCCTCTCTTTTTGTCTCTTTCCTTTCCCTCCTCTCTTTCAGTCTCTTTCCTTTCCCTCCTCTCTTTCAGTCTCTTTCCTTTCCCTCCTCTCTTTCAGTCTCTTTCCTTTCCCTCCTCCTTTCAGTCTCTTTCAGTCTCTTTCCTTTCCTTTCCTCCTCTCTTTCAGTCTCTTTCCTTTCCCTCCTCTCTTTCAGTCTCTTTCCTTTCCCTCCTCTCTTTCAGTCTCTTTCCTTTCCCTCCTCTCTTTCAGTCTCTTTCCTTTCCCTCCTCTCTTTCAGTCTCTTTCCTTTCCCTCGCTCCTTACCTTGTGGACAACACTTGATGGAATCAAATCATTTTTCACTCTCATTCTTTGTCTTATAATCCAAGGCTATTAAAATGTGTTTGGCTTCATTTCAATTACCCAATTAAAGACCAACTGCTAATTGGAATATTTTATTAATGAAGGCTAAGCATTATCTGCAGGTCTTTACAATTCTGAATGTATATCCACTCATATTTTACTTCCCAACAGCTGTTCAGTGGTTGTTGTTAGGGACCCAGTAGGGGTTTTGATGCAGAATTTACTGTCATAATAATATATCATTTGAGACTTGGTTATTTAGAATGCAAAAGGTCAATTACATCAGCTGACCTAATATGAAAGATTACTTTCCCCTCTACCTTATACCTATTAGCACCTTTTTTAGAGGTTATTTTTTGTTTTTGTTTTAATTTATAATTAAATAGCTGTAATTTTAAAAATAGCCAAAAATTTAGTGTAACCTTTTGGCTTTGCTTTGGAGATGGCACTTCTGTCTTTTGGTTCTCACGGGTAAATTGGGAGATGGGTTGAAAGTGATATGTCCTGTGCATGCACACACACACACACACACACACATATTTATTCATTCTGTATTTAGGTAGCAAATGTTCTTTAATGTAAATATTATTAAAAACAACAGACATTTTGTGTTGATTAATTTTAATGATTGACTTTTTACAAGTTAGGAATAATACTTCTCAGAAAAGGAAGAAATTCTGTCAGAAATTATCCAAAGTTCATTTTGGAAGGAAAGTATAAGTAATATAGTCCAAGCTTTCAAATCTCTTGTGTATATATATATATATATATATATATATATATATATATATATATAGTTTTTTTTTTACAATCTTCCTCCTATACTGCATATTTTGGCATAGCATGTTACAGCTGAGGCTTTGCTGAGTGGTGGGGGAACCATTATTATACTGTTGTTGTCTTTGTTCTGGTGAACAAGCATTTTCCTTTTGCTCTGCATTTTCTGCAACTCTTCAGCAGTGTCATTGAAAATGCTGTCAATTTGAGTAGCATACACATGCACTTTCATCCTTTCTGTGTGTGTGTGTATGTATGTATGTATGTAATATATATATATATATATATATATATATATATATATATATATATATATATATATATATAATTGGTAGAACTCATTGTTGAGTATTGAGTGTGCATCAACATTTCCTTCTGTGTGAAATGAGGTGAGAAGAAAAGTGGGCTAAATTATTTGAGGTGATCCATGGGTCACCACTCCATGGCACACAGACTTTAGCCAACACCATCCGCTGCAGCAAATGAGTGCTTGACAGGCAGCTTCATGATGACAGCTTGCATTGGGTCTTTCGATTGGGTGTCAGATCGTGCTTAGTCTGGTCTCTTCCCTAAATCCTTATTGCTATGGGCGGCCCTACCAGGAGTTGGAGCTCTCGACAGCATTGCATTCAGTTTCCTCAAGGCATGCAAGCTGCTCCACTACGGCACACTATATACGTTTTGTGTTTTAGAAGCTCAAAAAATTTAATGGCTTTTATTTATATATATATATATATATATATATATAAAACAATCGTTGAAACTTAACATTTGAGAGGATCAGATAAAAGAAATTATAGTCAATTTAACATCTTGTTGGGACTTTTGGTTCATTTAATTAATCAGAAGGATTTTTGTTCGGATTTTGTCTAAACCTTGTCCCAAACAAATATATAACAAACATGAGATTTCAAACAAAGTAAAAACGGAACATTTATAGATGAAACAAATATATTTATATACCATTACATATTTACAAAACAAGGTTAATATTTGTTGCGTTAATTGTATATGTTGCTGAAATGTTGGATGTCTGGTCGTTAAATTTGTTATTTTGGTGTTTGTGTTGAAATATATAATAAGAGTTTTTGGTAAAGTTTGCTAAAGTAGTCTAAATTCGTATTTCTTATTTTTATAATGAATAAATCAATGTGCATAAGAAATATTGTTCAAAGTTTCGAAGTTGTTCGTTGAGTGTTTCAGGTTCCAGTTGAAGTTCGGTCAAAAATGCGCTGGTAAAATTCTGTTTTTGAATGCATTGGATTATTAATTAGGCAATCGGGCGAGTTCGCTAGACTGACTGATAAGTTGTCTTTTCCTTTTATAAAAGAAGGCGATCTACCAATAGAATTGCTTTGGATTCTTTGCATTTTACTGGTTGAGCGTTATCTGCGCGTAGGCGTATAATATGGATTATGCTTTTTTTAAGGTTGGAGAGGTTAGAAAATTAGAAGAGTCCACAATCTGATTTATGATTTTTGCTTTTGTAATACTGTATTTTTAACATATACTTACTTCACACATGCTGGAGAAGTATAAAAAAATATTAAGCTCAAGTCCAGGAGGCCTTTCCCTCTGGCAGTACCTCTCCTTCAGGAGAAGGGCTGGGTTTATTGCCTGGCATCTGAGGCATTCCCAAAAGAGGAAGTGCCATGGGAACCTGGGCAGTTTTTCCATGGTATTACTGTTAAACCTGTTTTAAACTGTGACCTTGTGTTGTAATCGGCAGAATGATAAATACTTGTAACTCACATTTACACCTTAGAATACTAAATTCTGTTTCAGTATTTTAAATGTGATGTGAAATGTTCATTTCTCTATCTGAAGAGCTAGAGTTGTGTCTATGTAGACATCTGTTTGTTCTTTGCTTGACTAAAATCCTAAAGTCTGCCATATCTGAAATGATAATTTCATTCATTGAATTACTTGTCTGAAGGAATCTTGCTTCTATGGATGTTTTACTTCAGTACTGTTATTTCCTGAGAGGATTAAAAAAGTAAATTGTATAAGCCATGGTTTGCTATACTTCCATCTTGAACCTGTTGCTATTATTGCCAATGATTCTGTCATTGCACACACACACACACACACACACACACAATTCTGTCTCCTCCTTCATGATACTTTCTCTGTTCTCACTCCTGACTCCTTCGTTCTCTCTCATACACAGTTATGCTCTTTTTCTCATTCGCTTATTATTGTACTTTCTCTCTCTCTCTCTCTCTCTTTTCTAAGTAACTCACTCGCATCAAATTTATTTATTTCTCTCTCTGACCTACATCAGCTAATTAGTTTCTCTAAACTTTCGAAAGCTGAGATATTACGATCTTCTCCTCGGAACAACAATAAACTTTCTAAAGTAGAGAAGGAAGTCACTTAAAATTGATTGAAAAATACACTTCCTTATTTCAAGGATACAAGAAGATTAATATACAGACAGAATTAGAGATAGACAAGTCTTGCCACTTTGGTTCCACTTTTCTTTTCTGTTCTCCTGTTAACTAAAATATTTCCAAGAAATAGAATTGCTTCATTTTCCCTTGATTCTAAAATAATCTAATATAAGCATCCATTATATTCTTTAAGTATTTTGCATATCTGCCAAGATGATAAGGTGCATGTGTTTTGGCATGTGTGTATAATGCTTTAAAAAAGCTGTTGGAACTGTGGGAAATATTTTCAGTGTAAAAGGATTTTCATGTTTACTGAAAAAGGCAGTACAAATAACATCCACCTGATTTTTTTTTTTTTTTTTTTTTTTTTTTTTTTTTGTAGATAATGAAATTTCAGAAGAAAAGTCTTTGTGTTGACTCAACTGGAAGGTTCTTTCTATTTTTCAGCATTGAAAAAGAAAGACCAATTTGGAATATACAATTTACATTTTTGAATAACATAATTTAACGTTTTTCCATCTTATTTTCAATGCTCCTCTTGTAAAATATCTCTTAAACATTAAAAAAAAACAACTTTTGATCTTTCTATCTCTTCATCAGTAACAAATCTTTCCCATCTAAATAATTTTACAATGTCAAAGAGAAATGAAAATTAGAAGGTGCTGGAGAATATATGGGAAGGCTTGGAGCTTACTAGCTACGCTATTTTTTTTTTTTTTCAGGGTTGTCAAAGAAATATGGCCTCACAATGTTATCATCAAGTTGTTCGCAGTACTTTTCAGAGTTGATATTTTCATTTTTGTTTAGAAGCTGAAAGTGAATGGGTCCCTTTATAGATTACCATACTGAAAGCATAACTTTCTTTGTGTGTAATCTTCATTTTGAATTTGAGGATATTGGATATTTTTAACTGTTATTTTTCTTACAACATACTTTTATGTTATTGGTCTTTCATTTCCAGTAATTCTCTGATTAAGAAACAGATCATTGTTGAGATGACACAGCAGAGAAAAACAAATGGTGACACAATATAGGCAATTTTTATTGGCCAATTCTTATCTTGTATACTTGACAGATACAAGTTTCTGGATATGTTCAGATTGATTGATTAATTTGTTTTTATGGGTTCTTTTGATTGTTTTTTTTTCTTTCTTGCAAGTGAATATTGCATTAAGAATTTTTTGGAGACAAAAATAATTTTTCCAGATACAAGCCCTACTATTTAACCCATAGTTGAGGGGAGAAGGTTGATTCATACATTTCCCAAGGGTATTTGCATGTAAGTGAATGTAATTAACCCAACTGGAATTCGAACTTGTCTCTTTGATTTCTCATTCTGTGGATATATTTGGAAATAGTTTGTTGGCCAACATCAACCTTCTTGAATAGAATTGAAATGACTGAAGAAAAATCCTCCATTAACATATTGCTTATGATGTTCTTATCAACCACCGAAGGTCATTCAGATTTTGCTTCATCCTTAAGATCACCATGTTTAAATTTCCTGAACCAGTTTCTGCAGGTTCTATTCATTACTGCATTATATCCAAACATTTTATCCAAATTCCTGAAAGTCTCAATTGCTGTTCTTTCTCTGTTGAAATTTATAAAGCAGTGGAAATGTGTTTTATCCAGTGACATTGTTTTGGGGGTTGAAGATCAGAAATCATCAAGAATCTGAGAATAGAACAATTAAATCAAGTGTCAGTAGTGTTTCATTATCAATGAAATAAGATAGACTAACAAAGACAGTTGCTTAATCTAACCTGAACAGCCAATTAAAAACAGCTCTTTAAAAAAAAAAAAAGTGGCAAGAACTTTCCAGTAAACCTAATATAATAAAGAGAATA